TCTCTCAGAGGGGCGTGGGGAGGGGCTCCTTATTTTCATCTAAAGTAACAGACAGAGAATCAGCACTTTGGAAACAGGGCTGAAACAGAGGGGATTATGGGTAATGCTGCAATGATCTGTTTGGTGTTTCAGCCAATCAGAGACAGGCTCTGGATATGAGGTCTGTGATATATTGATGAGGAACAGTATGATAGGGGACCTTTAAAGTTATTAACATCCTTGTTGTCAGCTAGTGTTTACAGTTTTTATAGGATTGAGAAATAATAATTGGGCCGACAGAGCTTCAAGATCTTTGTCAGATTTGTGTCAGCGTGGATTCATTTCCCACAGACTGCAGGACAGTAGTTCAGGACCGAGGGGGAGTTGAGAAACGAGATATCAGCACTTTGGAAACAAATCAAAGGCCATTAAAAAACACACCAGCTACTACAAGGTGTTTCTCTTTCTTTAAACAGACGCTTCTCATTCAAAGTGATAAAGAGTACAATCCATGATTCAAACCCAAATGTCTCGATACAACAGATTTGAGAAGTCAAAACCTCAAACTGAATCTCATTTCAAACCAAAACCAAAACATTCAATAATATAAATGATCACGCACAGAAGGGTCTGTCGCTACGTTGGAGTTTATTTGTTTCAGGTCGTGTTTTCGTATCTTTGCTGAAGAGTCATAAAATCCCCTGAACTGCATTGTCTTAAGTCTGACAATCCAAAGTTTCCGTGATCATGTGTGCGTTGACAAACATTCTGAAGTTTAGGTCCGTGGTAACGGTTGAATCTCCATGAATATCGCTCCAACGATGAGCATCAGTCTTCTTTACTCCATGTTTGTTCTCGTCTGCGATACACACCGGAGTCAGATAGGAATTGAAATACTTCAAAAGCTGCTTTGTGCTTCTTGTGAATGCTAACGGCCCGTCCACACAGCGGCGTGCGTTGACGCTTGCCGGCGGGCGTGTCTGAAACTCGACCAACAACCAATCACATGAACCTCCCGCCCCTGACACACAAGCAGCCGTTTGATTGGCTAGAGCTTGAACTGGCATATGATTCGATTGGCTGACGCTTCTGCCGAGGCTTCAAAAGTTGAACATTGCTCAACTTTTGCAGCGAGCCACGCCGCTTCGCTTCCCACAATGCAGTTCGGCAAAAAGTGACGTCATCCCATTCAAAGTGAATGGTTGTCACGATTCTCATGTTATGTCTCGTTTATAGTTTTGTAGGTTTGGGTGTTTTTGCTGTTTTCCATGTCATGTTTTCCTTTGG